GGAGGATCCGCCCACGATGGGAGAGCATGCTGAGGGTAGACTGTCGACCAACATGATTGCCACTCAATGCCTCTTTTGCAGACCATGGCACTCAAAAGGAGAGAGAGGGAAATGCCCTGCCACAGAGGCAGGGTGGGATCGGGGCTGGGGGAGGAGGGGATGCTGGGATCCGTGGTGGTGGGAAATGCGCATTGGTGGAGGGATGGGTGTTTGATCATTGTATAATCGAAACCCAAGCACAAAAATGTGTAAGTCTACAACTGTACCTCATGGTGCCTCACTATTAAAAAATAAATAAATATAATAAAAAAATAAAAAATAAAAAATAAACAAAATGAATAAAAAAAGAGTGTGGTGTGGAATACTGTATTGTTAAAGTAACAATAATAACAATATAAATCTATTTAGAGTATTGTAAACCTTCATTCCTCAAACAAAATTCAAAAAATGAAATAACCACTACTATGGTGGTGAAGTGAGATAAATGAGATAACTACTACTATGTTAACCCACTGGCCCTGCTTTACTGATTCATGACTTTACTGACCTTACCCTACTCATAAATTTTGCATAATTTTACCAGAACCTATGAGTAATGCAAACCATATTTATAAGATTTCAGAGTCAATTGCCAGCCTTTTGCCTGGGTTATTGCTTGTTCTATCCCACCATATGAAAGAACAAAAGCAGATTCTCGACTTCTAACCGAAGAGATGTGAGCAAGCAGCTAAAATCATGGATACACTGCTCTACTCAGATGAAAAATCTGGGGCCTCCTCAGGAAGTGGGCCAGCCAAGTCCCCACTCTGCTGAAGCTCTGGCAGTCAAGCCCACACCCCATCGCTGCAGCCACACCAACAGCTCAACTCCAATGCTTCACTAATATTCTTTGCGGAGACACCAAAGTATAAAAAATATTCAGGTATCCCAGTGCCCAGGCTGAAAACTTTGGGATCTTCTCAAAGTGGGAGCCAAGAGTCTCACCCACCCTCCATTCTTTCAGAAGCCACACCCATTCCCACAGCTGCGGCCATGCCAATTCACTGGTCCAGACCATAGAGCCCGAAGTCTCTGGACCAGATAGCCACATGCAGCCACAGTATCACTTGTCACTTGTATCACTTGTCATCCCATAGATCTTTGATTTGCTCGAGCAGGCGCCAGTCGCATCTCCATTCATCCCTGTCGCATGCTATCGTAAATCAATGGCATCTGTTTGCTCCAGGAACACTAAGAGCCTCAAACAGTTTGTTCAGGGTTTTGACGAAGAAGTCTGACCATCTCATAGGTGGGTGGCCACACATCCTTTTGACATCCCATGGAATCTAATTGGTAACAGCTCTAGTCCAGCGGTCATCTCTAAATCGCATTATGTGTCTGGCCCATGTGATTTTCAACACCTTGGAAAACGAGACGGTGTCCCTGATTCTTGATTGTCGACAAAGGTCAGAACTCAATTCCTTCTCTCACTTGAGTGAAATGTGATATTCCAAGAATAGCTCTTTCAATTCTTCTTTGGGATACCTGAATAGCATTCTCGTCCTATTTTCATAGGGCCCGGGTCTCTGAGGCATATGTTAGTGCAGGAAGAACTGTGAAGTTGAAAAGATGTGCCTGGAGTCGGAGGTTCTTCATCCTCTTAACAACTTCTTCAGCACTCCTGAAGGCGTTCCACGCTGCTCCCTTCCTCTTGTGCAGTTCTGGCACCAAGTTGTTCATCATGTTAACTTCTCGACCCAGGTACACATAGCCGCTGCATTCAGAGATGTTCGTTCCACTGAGAGCAAATGGAACATCAGGGACTAGTTCATTTTTCATGAACATTTTCTTCGTGGGGTTCAGCTGCAGTTCGACCTTTCCACATTCATGGTCGAAGTCAGCCAGCATTCATGCTACTAGGCTAATGTTTGGTGTTTTTAGAACAATGTTATCAGTGATAAGGAGGTGGTATAGTTGCCAACCGCTTATTTTCACTCCCATTCCTTCCCATTCCAGTCTTCTCATGATGCTCTCGAGGGTGGCACTGAAGAGTTTCAGTGAAATGGTATCACACTGCCAAACCCCTCTCTTTACATCGATGATTACTTCCTTGTAGAAAGGTGAGATCCTGGTGGTGAAACTGTAGTACAGCTCTAGGAGGATCCTGATGTACTGAAGTTGAATGCCCTGTTTGGCTAGGTCGATGACCTGCGAGCCTCACAGAGCCACAGTACACCTTCAAATTCCTCAACACCGAAATTTCAATAGAAGCATACCAAATTTGATGGGAAAGTAACACAAAAGCCAACTCAACTCAACAAAAACAATAACAACAGACGGCTCAACTAGCAACAAACAGCTTAGTAAATCCTTATACAAGGACTTAACAACCCTGTGATGAGATATAACAATTTTCACATAAATTTTTATGTTAATCTATTTTAACATTGGACCTTTGTTTTCTAATCAATTTTAACTCTAGAACTGAATCAACAGTTGTGACTTTGTCTACACTAAATTAACTTTTTTTTCTGTGTAAGTCACACAATAGTTGTTGAAAAACCACAGCATAGTGAGGTGGTTAAAATCATGAACATTGAGTCAGATAATCTGACCTAGAATCTCAGTTCTGCTTTGCTCCTTGGCTGCATTTTATTTCTCAGGTTCTTTTTCCTCATTTGGAAAATATATCACAAGATTGTTGTGTTCAACTCAATGAATGAAGAAGTAAACGTATAACATTTAACTTTGGAAATTATTCAATGGAGGTGAAATTTAAAATGAGTCTTCAAGCAAGGTTTGGGTTACATGAAATTAGAAGAGGACGTTAAGGGTATCAGGAGGAAATAATATCATAGGTCAATCTAGACAGGAAATAAGGCATGTTTAGAAGTCATGATTAATCCAATTATTGATGCAGACTAAGGCACACAACTGTGGTACAGAGATGATACTGAGAAGACATTTTGGGGTATTTCTGAGAAAATCTTAGATGAAAGGGGAAAACTTAGGGCTTGATTTCAGAAACAAGACAGATGCTGAAACTGTAGTACAGCAGATAAACATCCACATCTTTGGTATGGAAAAATATTATTTTCTCCACCCCAAACTACCCAAGAGCTGCTAGGCTGCCTCAAGACACATGTGCTACTCAGTTTCATACTGCCCAGTCCTCTGTGTCCTTTGGACCCAGATTCCATGATGCCTACTGCCTGCTTCTAGACTTCATCCCAAAGCCAGAAGTACCTCAAGTATTCTAGGACCTGGTAGAAATACATGAGCTCTCAGCTGCCCCCAGGACAGCTCACCATTAATATGCAGGACCATGACATACCTGCTAATAAAGCAAAAACCCCAAATCTGCCAGATAGCTCCCAGGCCATGCATCAGCCTGAGATGGACTCCTTTGGCCAGCAACAATAGCCCTCATTCACCAGCTGAGGGAGGAAAAACCCCAGGAACTGTCAGACATCGGACTTGTCCTACCCACAGAACACTGTCTGGACATAAGAGCCCACTCAACCCAGCACCAGCCACCAGACAACATAGCACCAGGGACACCAAATAACATAGCACCAGGGAAAATGGTAAAATGAAGAAACTAAGTTGTGTCAAGAGAGAACAACAAAAGTTCAGAAAGACCCTCAATGACTTCAGACCTTTTATATGCCTTTAAGATGTCTTTAATACAACACCATATCATTGCTTAATGATCTTAAATAAAATCTTAAGAGAAAATAAAAATAGAGCTTTATGGGAAAAATGAAAGAATTTCCTCAAATAAAAGTAAAGTAACTAAATAATGCAGCCCAGCCAGAAGTCTCTAGAGCATTATGAGTGAAGTTGAAAAGCAGAGCAAATTAATTCATTCAAAGACTCAGCAAACAACTCTATCAAGAAAAGCCCAAGCAACAAAAAAAGAGAATAAGAAAAAAATTAAGTGACTATATGTGATATTATCCGACAATATCAGGAGGAACAAGCTAAGAATCATAAGAATTTCAGAAATAGAAGAAAGAAGAGGGAAAGGTTATTTGAATGTATAATAAGTGAGAACGTCCATAACCTGAAGAAGGAAATGAAATCCAAAAGGCTTAAAGAGAGCCAACCGAAGCAAACCCAAACAGAACAGCATCAAGACATTTTGTAATCAAAATACAAAAGACAGAATTCTTAAAATTGAAAAATAAAATGACCAGAGGAAATATAACCTGAGAAACGGTCTAAACTGAGTTTATACAATAGTGTATGGTGGGGAAGGGGAAGAGAGAGGGATAAGTAATGAATAACTTTAACAAACTCAAGGAAACAATAGTGCAAGTACAAGAAAGTATAAAAGCAGATGAGAAAACTATAATCGGAAGTGACAGAACTGGTAGATAAAAAAATCTCAACGGAAGGCTTCATCAGCAGAGTAACAAGACCTGAGAAAAAAATTAATGTGCTCAAAGATGGGATGCACTTAACCTATAAGAAACCAAAAGAAGATGGCGTAAAGTCTGAGAAGAAAGTAACAGTACACAGGAGAACTATGGGGTGAGTTCAAGAGGAGTAATATAAGAATCCCTGGAGCCCCTGAGGAATATTAAAAAAAAACTTGATAAAGAATCAGTAGTCTAAGAAATTATACATGGGATTTTTCCAGATATGAAGAATCAAAGCACCAAGACTTGGAAGCCCAGGGGACAAGAAATAGAAAGAACTTCTACTTAAGTTCTGCCAACTGGGTTCAATTCCCAACATCCCAGATGATCCCCCCAAGCCCTGCCAGAAGTGATCCCTGAGCACCTGCTATGTGGGCTCCTCAAAAGAAACAAACAACCAAAAAAAAAAAAAAACCTTGAGGGAACCAAGAGAGATTTAAACAGAAGAGCCAGGAAGGATTCAAACAGAAGAAATCCAACAAGATCAAAGAAGAAACTCATATAAAAATTAAGTCTCATAAGATTTGCAGCAGAGCTATCAAATGAGACTCTATGTGCTCAAAGAGAATGATGAGATATAGAAAGAAAAGTCTGAATAAAATGAGCATCTCATCAAGAATATTTTACCCATCTAGATTTGAAAGTATGCGTGTTGCAGGCCGAAGCCTCTTCCATCCTTGTCAAGGGGAGTGCTAACCTTCTCTCCTTTCATACAACATGGGGCTGGAGCGATAGCACAGCGGTAGGGTGTTTGCCTGGCACGCAGCCAACATGGCTGACCCGAGTTTGATTCCTCCGCCCCTCTCGGAGAGTCCGGCAAGCGACCGAGAGTATTTCACCCGTACAGCAGAGCCTGGCAAGCTCCCCGTGACGTATTCTATATGCCAGACACTGTAACAACAAAGTCTCCAATGGAGACATTACTGGGCCCGCTGGAGCAAATTGATGAACAACAGGAGGGCCTTTACCTTTACCTTTACCTTTAGATTTGAAAGAACAATACAAAATTTCAAAGACAAGCAATTACTTAGGAATTTCAAGACCTTAAAACCAGTTTTAAAGGGAGAGAGAAAACCCTAATAAACCGAATCAGAAATGAAAAGGGGGTCATTACAATAGAAACTACAGAAATTCAAAGGATCCTCAGGGAATACTTTGAGAAGCTTTATGCTACAGAACATCAAAACCTGGAGGAAATGGATAAATTCCTAGACTCCTACAGACTCCCAAGGCTGAACCAAGAAGACCTGGAATACCTGAACAGACCTATCAACATCAAGGACATTGAAATGGTAATAAAAAAGTCTCCCCAAGCACAAAAGTCCTGGCCCAGATGGATTCACTAGTGAATTCTTCCAAATCTTTAAAGAGGTTTTACTCCCAATCCTCTTTAAGCTTTTCCACGAAATTGAAATATCAAAACACTTCCGAACAGTTTCTATGAAGCAAATATCACACTGATACCAAAAGCAGACAGAGATACCACAAAGAAAGAGAATTACAGACCGATATCCCTGATGAACACAGATGCAAAGATCCTCAACAAACTATTAGCAAATAGAATCCAACTACTCATCAAAAAGATCATACACCATGACCAAGTAGGATTCATCCCAGGGATGCAAGGATGGTTTAACGTTCGGAAATCAATCAACATAATCCATCATATCAACAAAAGAAAAGATAAAAAGCATATGATCATATCAATAGATGCAGAGAAAGCATTTGACAAGATTCGGCACCCTTTTACGATGAAAACCCTAGCCAAAAAGGGTATAGAGGGGACTTTACTCAACATAGTTAAAGCCATCTACCACAAGCCTACAGCAAGCATCATCCTCAATGGGGAAAAACTGAGAGCCTTCCCTCTAAGATCAGGGACGAAACAAGGATGCCCACTCTCTCCACTGCTGTTCAATATAGTACTGGAAGTACTTGCAATAGCAGTTAGGCAAGAAAAAGATATTAAGAGCATTCAGGTAGGAAAGGAAGAAATCAAGCTCTCACTATTTGCAGATGATATGATACTATACTTAGAGAACCCAATAACCTCCACCAAAAAACTCCTGGAAACAATAGACTTGTATAGTAAAGTTGCAGGCTATAAAATCAATACCCAAAAGTCCATGGCTTTCCTATATGCAAACAGTGAGAGAGAGGAAAGCTACATGAAAAAATCAATCCCGTTCACAATTGTGCCCCAGAAAATCAAGTACCTAGGAATCAGCTTAACTAAGGAAGTAAAGGACCTGTGCAAAGAAAACTATAAAACGCTACTTCAGGAAATAAAAGAGGACATGAGGAAATGGAAAGACATCCCCTGCTCATGGGTCGGAAGACTTAACATTGTCAAAATGGCAATACGACCGAAAGCACTGTACAAATTCAATGCAATTCCTATAAGGATACCCATGACATTCTTCAAAGAAATGGAGAAAACACTCCTGAAATTTATATGGAACAATAAACCCCCACGAATAGCTAAAGCAATTCTGGGGAAAAGGAAAATGGGAGGAATCAACCTCCCGAACTTCAAACTTTACTACAAAGCCGTAATAATCAAAACAGCATGGTACTGGAACAAAGGCAGAACTGCAGACCAATGGAACAGAGTTGAATACACTGACATCACCCCCCAATCATATGATCATCTAATCTTTGATAAAGGTGCAAGAAATGTGAAGTGGAGTAAGGAAAGCCTCTTTAACAAATTGTGCTGGCATCACTGGACGGCTACATGCAAAAAAATGGGCTCAGAACTCTGCCTAACACCATGTACAAAGGTAAGATCAAAATGGATTAAAGACCTCAACATCAGACCAGAAACCATAAGATACATTGAAGACAAAGTTGGCAAAACCCTCCATGACATTGAGGCTAATGGTATGTTCAAAGATGACACGCCACTGGCTGAGCAAGTGAAAACAGAGATAGATAAATGGGACTATCTTAAACTAAGAAGCTTCTGTACCTCCAAAGAAACAGTGACCAAAATACAAAGACAGCCTACAGAATGGGAAAGAATATTCGCCGAATACACATCTGACAAGGGGTTGATATCAAGGATATACAAAATACTGGTTAAACTCCACAAGAAGAAAACATCCAACCCCATCCAAAAATGGGGCAATGAAATGAACAGAAACTTTCTCAAAGAAGAAATCCGAATGGCAAAAAAGCACATGAGAAAATGCTCTACATCATTAATCATCAGGGAGATGCAGATCAAAACCACAATGAGATACCATCTCACACCTCAGAGACTGGCCCACATTCAAAAGAACAAAAGCAACCGTTGCTGGCGCGGATGTGGCGAGAAAGGGACACTCCTTCACTGTTGGTGGGAATGTCGACTGGTTCAGCCCTTCTGGAAAACAGTATGGACGTTCCTCAAAAAATTAGAAATTGAGCTCCCATTTGACCCAGCGATACCACTCCTGGGAATATATCTCAGAGAGGCAAAAACGTGTAGCCGAAGTGACATCTGCACTTGTTTGTTCATTGCAGCACTCTTTACAGTAGCCAGAAACTGGAAGAGACCTGAGTGCCCAAGAACAGATGACTGGTTAAAGAAACTTTGGTACATCTACACAATGGAGTACTATGTGGCTCTTAGAAAAGATGAAGTCATGAACTTTACATACAAGTGGTACAATATGGAAAGTATCATGCTAAGCGAAATGAGTCAGAAAGAGAGGGATAGACATAGAAAGATAGCATTCATCTGGGGGATATAAAATAATAAAATATGAGATTAATACCCAAGAATAGCTGAGAGCAACACCAGGAGAATTACTCCATAACTTAGAGGCCAGCTGGGTATTCTAGGGGAAAGGACAATTCAGATAGAAAGGGGAACACCAAGTGGAGGGTGTTTGGAGGATCCTCCCAGGAGGGGAGATGCAGGTTGAAAGTAGACTGGACTGAACATGTTCGCCACTCAATGCCTCTTTGGCTGATCACAGCGCCCAGGAGGAGAGAGAGAACAGGGGGGAATGCCCTGCCACAGTGGCAGGGGGGGGATGGGGGGATGGAAGGATGGGGGGGGAGGGATATTATCCTGGTGGTGGAAAATGGGCACTGGTGGAGGGATGGGTATTTGATCGTGGTATGACCGAGATCCAAGCACAAAAATTTGTAAATCTACAACTGTACCTCATGGTGTTTCACTAATAAAAAAGAAAAAAAAAGTTTCTACTAAAAAAAAAAAAGAGCATTCAGGTAGGAAAGGAAGAAATCAAGCTCTCACTCTTTGCAGATGATATGATACTATACTTAGAGAACCCAATAACCTCCACCAAAAAACTCCTGGAAACAATAGACTTGTATAGTAAAGTTGCAGGCTATAAAATCAATACCCAAAAGTCCATGGCTTTCCTATATGCGAACAGTGAGAGAGAAGAAAGCGACATGAAAAAAACAATCCCGTTCACAATTGTGCCCCAGAAAATCAAGTACCTAGGAATCAGCTTAACTAAGGAAGTAAAGGACCTGTACAAAGAAAACTACAAAACGCTACTTTAGGAAATAAAAGAGGACATGAGGAAATGGAAAAATATCCCCTGCTCATGGGTCGGGAGACTTAACATTGTCAAAATGGCAATACTACCGAAAGCATTGTATAAATTCAATGCAATCCCTATAATGATACCCATGACATTCTTCAAAGAAAATGGAGCAAACACTCCTGAAATTCATATGGAACAATAAGCCCCCACGAATAGCTAAAGCAATTCTTGGGAAAAAGAAAATGGGAGGAACCAACCTCCCTAACTTCAAACTTTACTACAAAGCAGTAATAATCAAAACAGCATGGTACTGGAACAAAGGCAGAACTGCAGACCAGTGGAATAGGGTTGAATACACTGACATCTCCCCTCAATCATATGATCATCTAATCTTTGATAAAGGTGCAAGTAATGTGAAATGGAGTAAGGAAAGCCTCTTTAACAAATTGTGCTGGCAGAACTGGATGGCTACATGCAAAAAATGGGCTCAGAACTCTGCCTAACACCATGTACAAAAGTAAGATCAAAATGGATTAAAGACCTCAACATCAGACCAGAAACCATAAGGTACATTGAAGACAAAGTTGGCAAAACCCTCCATGACATTAAAGCTAATGGTATCTTCAAAGATGCCACGCCACTGGCCGAGCAAATGAAAACAGAGATAGATAAATGGGACTATCTTAAACTAAGAAGCTTCTGCATCTCCAAAGAAACAGTGACCAAAATACAAAGACAGTCTACAGAATGGGAAAGGATATTCACCGAATACACATCTGACAAGGGGTTGATATCCAGGATATACAAAATACTGGTTAAACTCCACAAGAAGAAAACATCCAACCCCATCCAAAAATGGGGCAATGAAATGAACAGAAATTTTCTCAAAGAAGAAATCCGAATGGCAAAAAAGCACATGAGAAAATGCTCTACATCATTAATCATCAGGGAGATGCAGATCAAAACCACAATGAGATACCATCTCACACCTCAGAGACTGGCCCACATTCAAAAGAACAAAAGCAACCGATGCTGGCGTGGATGTGGCGAGAAAGGGACACTCCTTCACTGTTGGTGGGAATGTCGACTGGTTCAGCCCTTCTGGAAAACAGTATGGACGATTCTCAAAAAATTAGAAATTGAGCTCCCATTTGACCCAGCAATACCACTCCTGGGAATATATCCCAGAGAGGCAAAAATGTATAGTCGAA